TTCGCTGATTGCGCATTATATGTGTATGAGCAAATAACTTTCTTTACTGATACAAGCTGTCAAAACGTCATTTCTGTTTTGAATACATTCCCGTTTTCTTGATTAATCAATATTCATGAGAATTCATAGGAACGAGTGCGACTGGTCGATAATTTTTAGCAATTTAGTAGTGAATGGTAAGGCATTTACGGGACGTATACTTGATTTCAAAACGATTTGGACATACTTTTCAATGCATTTTGGAACGTAGCCAATGGTCCAATGAAAGAACTTGATTTTGATTAATTCCCAAAAGTTAAGTTCTCTCATTGGATCATTCGCTGCGTTCTAAACTGCATCAAAAAAGTGTCCAAACTGATCGAAACTAAACTGCATCGGAAAAAAAAGGTATTTAAACCAAACATCTTGAAAACCAATATACACAGATTGGAATAATAATCTTAACCATAGAACCCTAAACATACATTCTGTCAAAAAAGTATCGGGAATTGTCGATTTAAACTGCCCGCGAGCTAGTCGAAGGTATAACAATTTTTTTTCCCAGGTTGGTACAACTGTCCTTAATTATGATGCTAAGTTAGAGTGAAATCTGTCAACCAGTGTGTTTACAACAGCTGGTTAAGTCAGTCGATGTCAGTAGTACGTGCCGATTTTTACAATAAGTGAAAATATTGAACAAAGAATTTGTCTCAAATTTTGTGTTGCGAACGAAATTTTGTGTGCTGATGCATTGAAGATGTTGCAGAAGGCTTATGGTGATTCAGCACTATCAAAAACCCGTGTATATGAGTGGTACAAAGCCTTCAAGGAGGGTCGAGAAGTCGTCGAAGATTTGCCTCGTTCTGGACGCCCGTCGACAAGTTTGACCGAAGATAACATTGAAAAAATGAAGGAAATTGTACTCGAAAACCGTCATTCTAGCTTAAGAGAGATAGCACACGAACTTAACATGTCCCATGAGTCCGTTCGTTCGATTTTGGTCGATAATTTGAGCATGAGACGCGTCGCCGCAAGACTCGTTCCAAAAGACCTGAATGCGCCGTCTCACCGAGCTACGATTATGACTGATTTTCTCGCTAAAAACTCAACAAATGTACTTGAACTACCACCGTATTCACCAGATTTGGCACCGTGTGACTTCTTTCTCTTCCCAAAACTAAAATTGCCGCTCCGGGATATCCGTTTTGAGTCGATTGAAGCCATCAAACAAAAATCGGCGCGTGAACTGAAGGCCATCCCGGAAAGCGCCTATAAGAAATGTTTCGAAGATTGAAAAAAACGATGGCATACGTGCGTTGCTTCAAATGGAGCCTACTTTGAAGGCGACCCAATAAATTTTGATGAATAAATGAAATATGTATGTTTTATTTAACAATTCCCGGTACTTTCTTGACAGAATGTAGATCAATTTTAGACAACGCATTTTCTTTTGCTCATAACACCCGGAAAAATTATCGAAATTTAATGCTTTTTTAGTCAGAATAGAAATTGTCGAATATAATTCCACTAATACTTTCGCGATTTAATCAAATTTAAAGAAGTTATAATAAAAAACAAAAAACATATTTTTAAAAACAGCGTTTGGAAATTGGTCTGGGTAAATTTGGCCCATATTTAAGGTCCTACGTTAAAACATAAAGTTATACCATTTTAGAGTTTTTCATAAAAGATATATTATGCATCTTAAAAAAGTATAATTTTATTTGTCCAGGCTATTGTGAAACAACAGCTATTGGAGGAAATCTTCTAAATTCAAGAACAATACATTATGGAAATTGATAAAGAGTTATTGAAACAACGTATGTTATAGTATATTAGTTTCAACAGTACTGCTATTGAATCCAAAAAATTTATTCCAATTAATTGAGCCATTCTGTTGATATAACAGCATTTTTTCCGTGTATACCGGCTTGTGTACAATCGTGAGCAAAACGATTGGAACACTTTTTTCTAGTGGAGTTAGTAACCCATCCAGTTGCCACATTTGAGAATCACTGTCAATGGACTTGACAATAATCGATTGTGACAGAAGTCGCACTAATCGAAGTGACAATACGCAGTGTAAAAATAAATTTTATCAAAACAACGTAAAAATGTGTTAATATACCTGAGAGTATTCCGGGTTAAAGTGCTGCAATAGTGGCGCTCGAAGAATTGAACAATCATGTGCTTCAAATATAAGATTACATAGATATAAAATTACGTTTTCCTTGATATCCAATTTAGGTTTGTATCGTTTCTTATATTCAAAACTCAAGATTTTTCAATTCTATGAACACTACTTTATCGCGACACTTTAATCCAGAATACTTTCGGATATATTAATATGTTTTCACGTTACCCTGACAAAATTTATTTTCGCACCACGTACTGTCGTTTCGGCTCCTATCATAACCAACTACCGCGCAAGTCCGTGAGATATGATTCCCAAATTACAAATTAATAATTCCCAAATTATAATGTTTACAAGTCGAAATTTTGTCATATTAACCCTTCAAATTCAGTTTGACTTAAAGAATCTCGGGATATAATATTATATAATAAGAGAAATTGTCCAAATGTTACAATGTTTATAAGTCGAAATTTTGCCACATTAACCCTTTAAATTCAGTTTCATTTAAAGAATCTCGGAATATAATATTATACACTGAGAGAAATTATCCGATAAAAAATTAACAAACGGATACTTTCGATTAAAATATCGATAAATTTTTATATCCAATCAGGATATAATTAAGGATCTAACGGATACTTTCGATCAAAATATCGATAAATTTTTATATCCAATCAGGATATATAATTAAGGGTCAATTGTTCTAACTTCTTGAAAAGTTATCTGATTATATGTTAAATCATATGTCTCGTTTTTCCTTTCGTAAACAGAGACAGACAGATGATTTAATTATCACATAAAGTTACCAAAAAGTTTGAATAACCGAAACAACCCTAAATTTAATCGGATATTTCCGATCATAATGGCATTTCATCAAATAAACCGATCAAAAAATTATGAACCGATATTTCTCATCGAATGTTTCCTGATCGGATACAAAAATTCACGGGTATTTTGAGCGGAAATATCCGTTAGTTAATTTTTTATCGTATAATTTCTCTCAGTGTACAGGTTATTTTGCGTCTTTAATGTTATAAAAAGTTGAGTTTAATAAAATGCATCTTGGGTCATAAGCCCAACTATTAATTTGCCTATTTATATCTCCTTTTCATTTTTGTTTAACCGTTAGATAGGTTACTACTACTACTAACTTTATTAAAAACAAGTGTTTCGTTCTCGAGTGTAGTACACACGTCACGTCTCGGGGTACGGTCGTGATGCTGAACGAGCGACGAAAGGGACGGACACACTCGCGGTTTTCGTGACAGAATATTCGTTGTACCTTATCCGAGATGCGACGCGGCAGGCAAGAGGCGGTCGCCCCGCATGCAACTGCGGTCGCGAGCGCGTCGCGGCCATTCGCTAACCAGCTGCCTTTCCGGGGGAATCGTAACGCGAGGAGACGCGAGCGAGGACGCAGGGCGACGAGCAGATGTAAACGAGAAGCTTTTACCTTTAATGGATTCGCCCGTGGGCCAACGGGAGATCTTCGGGCTTGAAAATACCTCGGCGGTAACGAAGTTTCGTAACGAGCCAGCGGCACACTGACTCTCCGCGCGCAACGAGTCACCTTCCCTCTTTTCTTCTCCTCTTTTTTATTCCTCTCTTTCTCTCCCTCTCTCTCTCTCTCTCTCTCTCTCTCTCTCTCTCACTCTTTCTCTCTTTCCCACGGCGCCAATTTAAATTCCAACTGCGATCGCGATCGGACTAAAATTAAGAGTCGTTTTTCTGGGGCGATTCGACGGCGAATTATCGCGAATTTCGCGGTAGCCGATTATCGTCCGTGTGAAATTCCCGTCACCTTGACCTTTTTGGGTTAAGTGATCGAGTCAGTCACAGAGTCACGATGATCGAGGCGACAAATGTGCAGATATGTGTGTGAAAAGTTCAGCGAGAATACGATTCTCTTTTCGAGAAACATTGTCACATTTGTTTCTGTTGGATTTTCGTCAAAAGTAAATGGATAACAAGTAATTTAACTCGAGTTGAAATTTTGCCACATTAACCCTTCAAATTCAATTCGATTTAGAGAGTCTCGGAATATTACATAGATTATTCCCGCTTTTACATAGATTTGTCCCGCTTTTGATGCTATAAATAGTTAGGTCTAATAACTTTGGATCGTAAGCCCAATTATTAATTTGTCAATATTTCTTTTTTACCCTTATTTAGCCGTTTTATTATACTGATTCTGGATTTATATCTCTATTGGTCACAGAGTTGCTATTTACAATTGTCTTTACAACTTCTTTTTCATAACCCAATTGAATGCCCAAGTTTATTGGAAGTTCCAACGTCCAACAAATTAAAGAAAATAACAAAGAGAGAAATATTATGACAAAAGAAAATCATTTATTTATTCATTTATTCACCTATTAATATTTATTAGGTTATTTAATATTTGCTCACATACATATTCTACCTGCAGGTACATATTAAATTACATAATTGATGTGTTACATAATTAATGCACTGCTTGTTAAAATTATTAACTATGCATTAAATATCGTGTATTAAAATTAAGAATAAATATTACTCTTTTTGATAAGCGCATTTTTAGTATGAACGTTTATTGTTTACTATACAACGTATAAACAAAAGCACGACGCTAAACAAATGACCTTGCAACTAGTATATCGATTGCAATATACGCACACTAATGCACGTCTAAAAGGCGCAACAGTGTTGTCGGGAATATTTCGACACAATGGATTAAATATGGAATATCGAGATAATCGAATATTAATTAATCCCGAATATTCACTCTTCAAAAATACAACATAGGATTTGATCGTAAAAATTCTTCTTTGTTAAGCTTGAATATAGAGAAGAGACAATAAATAACCATTTGTAGCAACAAATAATGATAGCGTGAAAAATTTCATACCTTAAGATTCTTCATTGATATTCCAAGTTCGACGGAATTTACAGAGATACCCTTTTAAGGATGTATTACCCGTATAGGCCCTGCAAAATGTTCCTGTAAAAATTAGAAATATATTATTAATATATATATATATATATATATATATATATATATATATATTATTATTAATATTTATTTGCGTATAAAAACATGTTATTATATATACAAGATGTCCCAAACTCTCCTTCTCATTAAGTGGGAACGTAGAACTGGTTGAAATGAAAATAAAAGTCCTATACCGTTTTGCGATATTCGCAATAATAGTCGAGATATTAATTAAAAAAGATTGGGGAATGATCACGTGCGATATGGTGAATGAGCTGCAGTGGCGCCGTCTACCGTTGTATACTTATACATTAGGTCAAACTGAACAAAAAAGTCCTTTGCCATTTTGTAAATGACCACATAGATTTTTAGATATTAATTAAAGAAAATTTGTGCATTATGGTACACAATCATATATGTAACAATTTTCTTTAATATCTAAAAATCTATTTGCAACATGATAAAGAACTTTTTTGTTTAGTTTGACTTAATGTATAAGTATACAACGGGCAGACGGCGCTACTGCAGCTCATCTATCATATCGCGCGTGATTATTCACCAATGTTTTTTAATTAATATCTCGACTATTATTGCAAATATCGCAAATATTGGTATAGGATTTTTATGTTCACCTCAAATCGTTCTACATTCCCATTTAATGTGATAAGGAGAATTTGGGACACTCTGTATATATACAACGTAATTGAGTAACAATAAATTTTTACTTTAACGCTCAGATGGAAAAGTTGGGTAAACGAAATCCTAGCTTAACGTTTTTTTTCTAGACTTCAAATCATTTATAACAGATATAACAAGATCATTATAACAGATATAACAAAGTATCACAATTACGATTTTGATGCTATATTCTAATAGCATTTTCAACTGAACGAATTTTTAAATTCAAGCGTCATAAGTTCTGCGATTGACTAGATTGTAGAGGCTTATTATGTTAACGTTGGATCAATCCATTCAATTAAAAGCGCTATAAACTTATATATTTGTATTTATGTAAATTGTTTTATGAGTAAGGGAAAATAATCAAAACCTTAAATTATTAATCAACTTTTTTATTTCTAACTTTCTGTATTGTTTACAAATATTTTCATATCAACGCTTTGAGCTACTATTAGCAGCTACTTTTACTAATAGGGAAACCCACGGAAATGCCCATCTCCGATTTCGATGAACTTGAGATATATTGTAATATAGACCAAAAGAAGAGGAATACGTTTTTTTTTATATATATATCCAATCGCATTTTTAAGAGGTAAAACCCCTTTAAAAAAAATCGATTTTTTTTTTTAGAACATATATTGTCAAAACTATACGAGATAGAAAAAAAATATCTAAATAAAAATTGAATTTCAAAAGTATAGTCTATTCAACAAGAAAGTGTAGGTGATAATCTGAAAAGAATAAAAGATAAAGTCAAGTTGTTTTTTTTTAACAAAAATAAAAAATTTTTAGTTATGCGCAATTACCTAATATTTTATCCAGGCGCCTCCATTATCAATTATTTGCTTAATACCATTTTTGCATAATTTCGACCAGATTTTCGGAGTATTCTGCGGGTAAAGAGCGCATATTGTTTTTATTTTTGTGCACAGCTGCTTAAGAGTGAAGATACGCTTTCCTTTAAATTTCATCTTAAAGTATGACTATACATTTTCGATGGAATTTGCGTCTAGAGAAGTGCCGGTCAATCCATCATAGTTATACCATTTTCGAGCTTTCACACAATATATAGCCGACTATAATGTTTTGGGTCATTATTTTCTTGCAGTACCTATTTCGATCTGCCCTCACCAAAAAACCTTTTAGCAGACCTTAATAAATATTTTTGGTAAATTGATCGTATTTTTCTCTGCAGGTAAATAGTCTGTAAACAAATATAAGTAGCCAAAACCGCGTTTATTGAAGCATCCCCAAACATGAACTTTTATTGGATATTTTACAATACGTTGCAGGATTCTCTTTTGCTTCGTTGACCAAGTTTTCGATAAGAGACACCATGCCCAAAAAGACGATTCATCTGTAAAGATGATATCTCCATTAACATTTTCCTGTGCCCATTCTATTGTTGTTTGAGATTGTTTTTCTAACAGCACCGATTTTTTTCATGGTGGACCGAAATACCACATCATTCTCATGCAGGCAACTTCTGATCATATTAAACGAGATATGTAAACTTTTTCGGCGGAGTTTTACTTGGACCTGACGCAAGGTAAAGCTGGGATGCGTCTGAAAAAGACGCAAGATCGCTTTGTCCTCCTTCAGAGTCATCGCACCAGATAGTTCCCTTTTTGGCTGTCAATATTTCTAGCGGTTTTACCCGCTACTTTACGAAAACATCTGACTTTTTAATTGCTCTAGTAGCTGCCGCGATTGTTAATTTTGGTCCTTTAGAATGGTTAACAAGAAATACCGTAACGTCTCGTAACACAAATATTTTTCACTCATTTTTAAAAATAATGTTTACTTTTAACAGCTACTCAACGCAACTTTTTGATGTACACTGCGCAAAAGAGGTTAAAGATTCAAACCTTATAATGTAGATGGCGCTACTGTGATTTTCTACAAAAATATCGCCCACACTTTCTTGTTGAACAGACTGTATTTTATAATGACTCTTACCGACTTTTTCAAAAATGTTATAATTTTAAATATAGCCTTACCATTCATCATTTTTTTGCAATCTAAGATTTTTATTTGGTCTAAATGAAAGGGTTTTTTATTCCAAATCCAACCATATATAATAATGTTATTTTCCAAGATACAAACCGATCAACGGAGTTTTCCATATGTGCGCTATCAGTAAGTGTATAGTAGATCGCTCGATACAACAACGTAATCATCTATTAACAGCTTCACGTGAAACTTTTAATATCCTTTGTTTCCTTCCCCTCAACTCCCTCAAGATAACAATATATTTCCATAATATTACAGTTAAAAATATTCCTAAATAGTAGCATGACGTATTAATGTTGTATTAGTAATGTATTAATGACGTTTCTAACGCCAATAATAAGCCATTAATACGTCATTAATATGTTATATAACGTCATTATTTTGAATTTACACTTCAAAATGAAATAACGTTTGATCCAGATTCTGAATCAATCAAATTGTTTATGATTACTTTAAGATGTAATATATTAATCTGTAATTTCCTACAAAATTGTTTTCTTTATTTTTATTGAGACATAAGTAATATATCCTTAAAATAAAAGGAAAAATGTTTCTGATTGAATTTATAAAAATAGCATTTTTCCAATAATCAATGGATACGTTCAGCAGATAAAAGCGCTCAGTGAGCATTCGATGTTTATTGGTTTATTTTGTTGGTTCCCTATATTTAGACCAATTACGTTTACGAATCATTCAACAATTGTACAACTGTTGTGTGTGCTGAATGCGCCCAATGAGTACTCATTAATTTTTATTCTCATTTTAGTGTTCTGTCTTATTTTATATACATAACAGTAACATTATTGCATTCTCATTTTATTATTCTGTCTTATATCTCACTAATTTTGATCAATGAAAGTAAGATTTTATTGCAAAATCTGTACACGAACACGTTATATATTCTATCAAATCCAACTTTCTTAGCATCTTAGTAATTCACGACTTCCATGCACTTTCCATGCGATGACACTATCTGTGTTTGCAAAGTGTACCAATAATGAGAACAGTTGGTACTATGAACTGATTCTTTCAGTAAGATTTTGTTGATTACAGCGCTGAGTACCTATAATTGAACCACCAGTTATGAATATAACATTACAATGAAAAATATACTATTGTACTTTAGAGAGTAATGTGAAAAAAAATATCATGTCATGAAGACATAAAAAATTGAGTGGAGGTGCCGATGACATAGAATATAGTTATATGATATAAGAATATAGTTATAAGTTAATATAAAAATATAGTTATATGATATAAGAATATTTATATATTTTGGCACTTTTCGCGTTTAAGTCCTACGTTATCGGGATTCCAGCGTAACTTCTTCGCTTTACATTCCGCGAGTTAGAGTTAGAGTTGCGTAAAAGTTACCGCGAAGAGAAGTCGCGCGCTTGATACGGAAGATTGAACGAGTTTTGGGTTAGCGCTCGTCGGTTATAATTATCGTTCTCGCATAACGGAGAATCCGCGGGGAAAGATCAGGCGCGATTACGAGACGTGGTGGCATCAACTTTTGTCCCGTCAGGAGCGAGATCTCACCAGACTAGGGATATACCTGTCTTCTTACTTATCGCGGGAATAAGACACGAGGAGCGTAATTTCTCCTTTCTTCGCCGGGATATCGTAATCGAGCATCGTAATGACGAACCACTACTCTGAAAAGCGTTATTCCGACGCTTTAACGGAACGACGATGTTAATATTCAACGATTCGGCGTATAGCAGATTAGATCGATTCCCGATTTCTCGGACGCTCAAAGCACCAACTTCGTTAACAGGCAGCGCGTAACTTCCGTTACCGTGACCGTTACTATGACGGTCGCGGACACTCGAACTAAAATATCGTGCAAAATGGAAATCATAGACTCACATAGACAAGTACATAAATTTGGTAATAACTTTATACAGGGTGTCCCAGACTCTCCTCCGCAATTTTTGTTAATAATAAAATATCACAGTTTTAATCAATATGTTTGTATTTTATACCAAATCATTTCAATAAATTATTTATCAAGTTTTGCCGTACACGCTCTTATCAAACAGACTGTACATCTATGGTCCCCTCCCAGCATAAGATTAGGAGCCACGAGATTATTATTATGTAATATTTAATTTAAAAAGTTTCTTTATTAATAAAAATATAAAAGGTATTATATTTTACACTTATATTGTCTTTGTCACGGATTCAGGTGAACATAAAAGTCCTATATCGTTTCGCGATATTCGTAATAAATCTCGAGATATTAATTAAAGAAAATCGCGCGATCTTTCACTAATCTACTGTAAAAACTGATGTGTTAAATTTAACACATTTCA